GGTGCGTGCCGTTGTGAAAGCGCTTTACCAACAGGCCACACACTGTGCAAGGTTCGAGCTGGTGCTCGCGCAAATACTCCGGCGGCACGGAACCCGAAAGTATCCCGGCACAGTGGTCGTCCAGGTGATGCCGCATAGTTTGGTGTGACTGCCATCCACTGCATCGCCGCGGGTCGTGCATGCAGCAGGACTGGACAGGGCAAAACACCCGCACACCATCAAGCGCGCTAGCAGCGAGGCGCCGGCGCACACAGGGACGTTCTTGAGCAGGAGGCGGCGGGTGAGAGGAAGAGGCCTGTTCCGGCCCAGGATTGGCGGCCTCTCCGAGGAGAATGCCCAGAAGGCCGAAACTGCGCAATGCTCGCCGGGCCCTATTAACCCAACCAACGCTCCAGTGAAGGGTGAGGGCGGAGTGTGCGGGAGGCTCGACGCAGCAGGGCGGCTGCAGCCAGCAATCACGAGGCACCAGCTGATTGACCGACATGATGGGTGCAGCAGGTGGGTACGGCACGCTGGTGGCGAGAAGGTGCACAGTTGAAGCATCACAAGCGGTACGAGAGGCATGCAGGAAGGGATCTGTGGGACAACCCGCCCCGGGAAGGCCGCAGCAGACAGGCGGAGGGCCAGGCAATGCAGACCAGTTTTTACCCTGGATGGGGCCAGCAGCGCGGGCCCAGTTTTTACCCTGGATGGAGCCAGCAGTGCAGAACCACTTTTTACCCTGGATGGGGCCAGCAGCGATGTGGCCAGCAGCGCGGGGCCAGTTTTTATCCTGGGTGGGGCCAGCAGCGCGGGGCCAGTTTTTACCCTGGATGGGGCCAGCAGTGCGGCACCAGTTTTTACCCTGGGTGGAGCCAGCAGTGCAGAACCGCTATAGGGCCAGTTGTGCAGGGCCAGTGGTGACGCGGCATGGGACCATGAATGCGATGGCAACGGGAGCTGGTACAAGGAGTAGATCTGCGACAGCATGTCCCGGGACGGCCACGCATAGGTTTCCAGTCTCGACGCTGGGCTTCAAAGAGTACGCGGCAGCGGCGGCGAAACACGGGCTGAGGTAAGGTCCCAAAAGCCGCCAAGGGGTCCCACGTAGGCCCCTCACGAGGGCCATCATCGAGAACGCGAGCACGGAGAAGAGCACGGCGCCGATGCCGATTCAGCGCAGGAGGCAGGGCACAGTCCACCAACCAGTCAGCCGCCCGGGGTTCGAGGACAGAGCAGCAAGCGCCGAGGCAGAGCAGCAACCAGTAGCGGCAGCAGCAGCAGCAGCCAGGCGAGGGGGCCATGGCTCCAGAGTGCACATGACATGCACCTGTCTTGGGGGAAATTTTGCATTTCAAATGCAACCCCAGCCTACACCCGCGCTCTGCGCTCTGTCATCCCAGAATGTGGAAAGAACATCATGAATCATGCTGTTAAAAGTGCGGCGGGGAGCCGGTCTTATTTTGTGAAAACTCAAGTCGATGATTCTGACATCTGCAGCTGGGTTGCGCTCCAGTCCCCTGACAGTCCTCTTGCGCTCAGCTGCAGTAGTGTGGCTAAGGGTGCACAAGTTTCTGGCTGCTGTTCGCGTGGAATTTTTTCAGACAAGCCCATCGAGCATGATCTTCAGCATCCCCTACTACCAGCACATACCAACACTAACCCAGCTGAGTAGGCGCAGCCCCTGCCTGAAGTCTGAGAAGTGCTTTCGTGAACACGTTTAAAGCCAGAGCCCCTGTGGACAGAGCAGCTCTTTCATGTACATTCAAGACTTCAAGTCATTACACGGTTGGCATTAGATGGCCCTGGTATCAAACTCAACTTCAAAACATCTTTGCCATAGAAGTCAGTCTCACATAGCAAAACCCACATCAACATACGAGAATGATGATGCCTGGATCATAGAGAAAAGAGCTTGAATCGCTGAGATACAGTAGGCCACACCTCCCCGTACACTCTGGGTCCTCGCGACTTGCCCAGAGCGACAAAGGCCGCTGTGTGATTGCTTACGCGGACCATGTTTCGACCGTTTTGGCCAGGCTATCTTGGCATTTGGGGTATGGGGTGTTGGGTAGGATGTTGTTGGATCGCCTTGCAGGGGCCTGCAAGGCTGGGATCAAGACTGGGATAGCTTGGGCGCTAAGTAATTAGAGGCAGGGCGAGCACTCGGAACCCCAAACCCTCAACCGCAGCAGTCGCTTTGCGAGCGCAGGTCAGTGGCCGCTTTGGGCCAGCGGCTGCAAGAGCGCAGTGTCTTCGTTTGGCAAGGGATACCCTGTAAGGATTTGGAAGAGGTAGGCCGGTTTTTTTTTGAACTCTCGGCCCGCCAGGATACACTTAAATCGCACTGCTTTTAGAGAGGTGTCTTCAAGCTCCGATCTTACAGTCATCCCAAATGCGTATGCTAGTCAAGTGGGATGATTATGAGATAGCTGATCACGACAAAGAAGACCTAACATGTTGTTGGACGTCGTTGCCATCAACTGATCCCCTGCTCAGGACAATCGTCTACTTCAAACAGGTCACCTGCGTTAGGCAATCGAACCGGGAAACCACCCAGCCTGAAAAGGCCGCTTTGGCTGTTCGCCTCTCAACCTACACAAGGTTCCATGTTGTGTTAGGGCTGGGAATCTCCCCAAACTCAAGATCTGGGCGTTTCCAGATTCCAGGCCAAGTGCGAGCTCTGGGTGTTTTACGTTGCAGGCAGAGGGATCCAGTTCCAGGCTTAGAGCTTCGGGAGCAGGAGTCTGAAAACAAGGCATGCCGTTCTACACTTTGCTGCAAAAACCAGACATCTAACTGCTGCAGAAATCCAAACATCCAGAATTGCTTGTAGGAAGCCGAGGCGCTGCATTATATTTGTACTATTCAATAACCAATAACACGGCAGCGGTTTGCCTGTTGTATGTAGGAATGAGCCTGGTGATACCAGTAGTCTCCGTCCTTCGACCCTACGCAGCCTCAAGCTTTGAAGCCACCTCGACCCGGATGCGCTGCGTTGGAAGCCTCAGGCAGCAAAGGGCTCTGAATTCTGGAGCCTGGATTTTGAAACCAGCGAAGCCGCATCAGCACGCCTCCGAACAGGGCTGAGGCTGGCACCCTTCTGGTGCTGGTCCAGTGGCTGCGGAGGCGACATATGCCTGCAGAGCTCTCCATTTAGGATCCTAAGAGCCTGGAGCCTTTGCCTGGCAACTACTAACAACTCCCTCACATAGTATGTTTTGGGCTCATGAACCTTGCAGTCTAAAAGTGAAAATTCCTGTCAAGCGTCACTGCCCTGGAATTGCTTAGCGCCCAAGACACGCCTGCACTTACTGAATACCCTGGCTCAACCACCAAGCCTTCTCCCAGTCAAGCTCGTCATACTGCGAAACCAGAGTGCCCCGCCTGAACCCAGGGTTTGTAAAAGGATACACGGAAGGCTTAGGCGTCGATGCAATTGACTTGAATCTCAAGCTCAGCGAGAGCTGACCCAATTCATGACGTAGGGCCCTCCAAGTTCTCAAACCGAAGGCAAAAAAACAGTTTCAGCCAGTGGTCCAAAAGCTGAGGAGAAATGATATGCATTATTCCTACCCACGCGTCACTGCCATCGCCTGTTGATCGGCAGCCTGCCATTGCAACATTGTTTGCGGAGGAGAGAAGGATTTGTTAGTGGTTGGATGCCAGGATCCAGGTTGCGCATATGGGTGGTTGTCAAAATTATGGTCCCTGTTTGGATCCCTATCATAATACGGCACCTAATATATTAAGGTACCCGAAAAGGGACCATAATTTTGACAACCACCCATATAGTGCTTAGTACGTGCGAACACGGGGACCGATGTGCCTCTAGGCCTTTCTCATCCTGCTATGCTTCTCAGGAAGAAGAGTTTGGCAGGACAATTGAACAATGCAGCCTAGAACCAGAAGATAATCCCTGAACAACGAAACTGCCAAGTAATACCGCAAACCATTGCCGAAGCATTGGGGAAACAACCATGCGCCAGGAACAAGACCTTCAGCTCCAGATTGGGATTTGGTGTTGCTCAGGATTCAGTTCAAAGCGAGTGATCAAGCGGACTCAGGATTCGAATGCGCAGCCAGGCTTCTAGTTCAGGACTCATGGCCTACAGCTCTCAAGAGGCACCACAAGGCTCGTGAAGCTGGACCTGCAACCAAGCTGTGGAGCCATCCCCACAAGATTCCTGGGGCCATTCCCTTCCTGGGAACACCGACTGAGACTGCGCCGCTACAGCCCATGGAGCCTGATGTTCACCATAATTACCCCTCACGACCTTTCATAATGAGCACACGAAACACTCCTGTTCCCTGATGCTCTCATCCGTGCAAACAGCTGAGGAACCCAAAGCCGCACAAGCAAGCATCAGAAAAGCCCCTGCGCATCCTTTCAGAAACCCCTTAACGGCCCTAACCAAAAACTCATTGTCCCCAAGAGGCTTTTGCTCCGACGGTCGGCGTTGCATCTGGAAAGGTTAAACGTCCCGCTTTGCGTTTACATGTTTGGATTTGCGGGGCTTGAGGGTAGGTGCAGGTGTAGGCTTCAGGAGGAGGATTCGGAAATGGATCTAGTAACGACTTTAGAGTTGTGGAATCTGCTGCTTCAGCAAGCACAGATGTCAGAATCCATAGGAAAGGTTCTGCGGGCTTGAACCTAGCGACCTTTGACTTGCTTTCAAGCTTTCGCAGCGGATTCAGGTATTTGCATCTGATGCCTTGTCAAAATCATGCGATCTTCTGGATGCGCCACTCAATGCAGTACACCATACGCCTGCAAATTGAGCCGGATCCCAACATCCTCAAACCCTGGAACCTTAACCCCAAAGTTGCATGACTTGACTAGTGCGTAGCTGATGTCTTCAAATAGCTGTGAAGTTCAAGCCGAACATGAAAACTGCATAAGCTTGGGGCAATGAGAAGACAGCTGTGCATGATGCTTGCGAAGGAAACAGCTACTTACCAAAGGGCGCATCCTGCTGAACTGATCTGAAGCGTACTGCCGGCAAAACACCACTCGCGCAGTGCACAACTCCTCTTCCGTCAGGGGCAGGGACCTCAGGCTCAGCTGAGGCTCTGCAAATTCTGCGATACACAAGTCCGCAACCACCAACCACACTGATATCCCCAGAGTTGCTGGCTGGGCAGTAGGACTCGGATCCAGCTCGCGGGTGTCCACCTCAGATGCCTGATGCGCACTTGACTTCGTCTGGATTTAGGGGGGTTCCCGTTGTCTCGAATGCGGGGTAAGTACAAAGCTTATGGCCCTGCAAGCAATTGGGCTTCGGCGGCTACTAACATTTGAGCACTTCGAATTCTCGGCTAAGGGCTTTAGGACATTTACAATGCTTCGAAATCTTCTTCAGCTGCTGTCGCTTGGGCCAGAGCCATCATGCGACAAGTCTTGCAAAGCATGGGCTCTGGGCCTTCAATGCTCCAGCGAACCCTAAAGCTGAAGAGAGGCTCTGAAGGATTTAGGGATTCAGCTTTCTATCCTGTTTTCTCGTTGCTGGTCTGATGCAAGACCCTGGCATACACCGCCAATAGACAGGAAACGAAGAATCTATGTTCCACAGCTTCAAAGTCAAAGAGTTGGCCACACAAAATTCCTGCCAAACCACCGGGCCTCTACCATGATTGCACACTGCAAAAACATCGACTCTAGTCCAGCTCTTGAGGTTGTTGCCTGAGGCTCACTGGCAGGCTCCTCTGTCTGTTCCATGGCTCCAGCACTTGCAGTCAAGGCTTTCTGCTAGTTTGAAGGTTCTCTGAACGCTTTCAAAGCGTCTGCGGGCATGGGGTGCGTCAGCCAACAGCTGAAGAAGGCTGTACGAAGCTTGGACTGGCTTAATTAGTCGGGAAGTCTTGTCTCCCTGCGGCACAATCACTGCAGCTGACGAGGTTGCAGCATGTGTTTTTGGGCCAAGCACCTAAACAAAGTATTCAAGCCTAAGCGCTGGTACGAGTCCCCAACATGTCAGGCTTACCCTCAAGACTGCGCCCCAAAATTCGTATTCCAGATCTGTCGCCGACAGGCCTGTGTTTTTGTCAAAGGCCAGCTAGGCCAGGGCTACAGGCCTCTCTTGGTGTTGTTTCTTGACAAGGCTTCAATTCTTTCTTGGCCACGCTATACTGCACTACGCTACAGCCCGAATGTTTATAGTCGTTCAGCAAATGTATCTTTATGCGAGTGCTTGTCAGAGCCGCGTCCGCAACTCAGAACTGGCCAACTCATTCATCCTTTTGGCAGCAAGAAAATCAATCATGGCCTAGATATGAACGAAAGTGGTGCGAATCCATGCCAAGTACGTAGAGTAGTAGTACACGGCTATGCGGCCAAAGCTGATCAAACCCTTTATGCCTTCGAACAGGAATATTGCATTCAGTGACGAGATGTTGCGTCACCATCACCCACCCTTACCCTGCAAGTTCTCAGAATACCTGGTGCCCTTCTTTCTCATTCTTTCCGCTTGGATCCCTTGTCGGAGGGGCCTGGGCGGAGCAAGAGGGGAGGCCGTTTTCAGGGATGCTG